CTGAATATTCTAATTATGTCTAAAAAGAATTTTTTCTTGCATACATTTTTACTTCCTCTCGAATTCATTTGAATGAATTTTTTACTTTTTCTTGCGTTACATCTGCAAGTACAAATAGAACAAAGGACTCTTTTTTTCCAAAACAGATTGTAAAATGAATTTATATATACAGTGTTGGCCAAAATTGAGGACACTTTTGGAAATTTTTATGTTTTTGAACTTTGTATGCTTATAGAAAACGTTATTAATTTCTTGAAACGAGCTGTTTTAACACCTCTAAGGATTTCGATTTTTAAATTTTAAATTAATTTTTATATCTTCTATTAAAAAATTTCTTATGGTGAAAAGGAAAAAATATGTATGCCGGAGAAGCACTCAGCTTACAATTTCAACCAAAAGACCTCTTCCCTCCTGTCCTCCTGCAAAGTGGAAAACAGAGGTCAAATATTTCCCTTCCTGTATGAGATGCGCTTATCACATCACGGGAACTCCATTCATTTAACATTAAATTGGGCTCAAATTATTATTACGTTTAGACATTACTATTTATTTACCAGTACTTTACCCGAAACATGTGCACGATGAAGTTTTAAATCATTTCGTGAGTTGATTTATTTTGTTAACTTTACGGATCATTATTGCGTAGAGTTATGTTCTAAAATAAACAATAAAATAATAGGTTCACCTTTGTTTAACCTTTATTTAATATTATTTATTTATTATTTCATCTCCCTTAATCTTTGTTCAATCATATCATCAAGTCTTAAAGTATATATACAACTTCAAAGTTATATTTTTTCTCTATATTTTAATTTTTCCAGTCTTGTTCTCAGGCATTTCATACCGTAGCGAGTTTAACAAGTTCCTTTATTTGATTCATTAGAGAATCGGAGGGGTGAAGGTTCCTAGCATTTATTTATCAGAAGATTGAAATGCGTTTGCGCATAAATTTGTTCTGTTTGATAACAATTCTTCTCGCTTCAATTATATTCTTCAGATGTCTTTAACTTTTTATGCACTTGTTAATTTTTCATATGCATTTGCTTCTTTATTTACATTTATATTTATGTGAACGTTATTTTTTCCACTACTCTGTTTTGAATCTAATAGCAAGGAACAGCATAAATTACGTAATTATGTTATGTTATTACACAGTGTTATTCCATTATTATATTATGTCAGGACTACTGTTCTTTCTCATTGATGTGGGAAACATCAAAAGGAATCCTGCGTGGTAACCGGAAGCTTACTTAAGCTATGTTTGTGTGTACGATAAATAGAGAAACAAGTTAAGAAGGCTTAACTTTACCCTTTATTTCACACAGCGCACAGGTGCTCCTGCACTTCTGGATACTTACCAGAGGCCAATACTTTTGGTCTAAAACGTAAAAAATGAGAAATACTCATTTAACAACTAACTTAACTAAATAAGAATTAAACTTAAATGTTTCTCAGAGACTATTAACGCGAAGATTGGCCTTTTGACACTGCGCATGTAGTGAGCTAAATGCAAATAATACAATATGTCTAGTACGTCAGCAGGAACTAAGTTCCGGCCTAAAGGCGGACACGAATTGACTGAAAACCACGCGCGTAGTACTGCAGTAAGAAGATTCTCTCTCTTCTTGGATAGAAGCCACTTCTTAAATACCTTCTACCGTTTTGCAATTCATTAGCAAAAAAATTCTACTCGCGCTTATTCTGGGTGGTAATAGAAAACAAGAGAGGATAGCAAAGTTTAAATAAAATAAGCGTTAGTAGAAACTCAAAATCCTTATAATTATATTAGTTAATTACTCCGTTATGTAATTATTACAGTAAGTTATATTTTGCTATGTTATGAAATTATGTAAAAGGAAAATATGTGCAAATGGTTTATTATTATTATTATGATTTTCGGAACTTAGCGTTAAAAAAGGTGGGGAGAGGAATACACGAGAAAATAAGGGAGATACGATCTATAATTTTATTTCTATTTTCATTTTAAATTATCCTTAACCTCAGTAATTTAATATACTGAACTTAAAACTTGCATTTACCATTCGGTGGCTTCTTACCACTGCGTGAATCAATATATATTAGCTGAAAGTTAAGTTATAGACTAGAATGTAGTATTCTAACGGAGCAATAAAACATTGAAAAAACAGCAAAGCGTAAACTGCCATGTCAGCTTCTCGAATTCAAAGCACCTATCGAAGCGGGATAGGCATCAAAATTCCTCGTCGATACGAAATGTAATAGGACAAGCTTTGGAATTTCATTTCGATCGCTACTTGCAGTTAAAAGCCTCGGCTGGCTGAAGTCCCTTGCATATTTCGGATGACATCGAGGCGGATGGCGGAACACATTCCTGAAAGTGTTGTTCGAAACGCAGGGAGCAAGTCTTTTGAATTTTAATATGCTTCGGAAACAATCCCCTCCATCTAGCAGACAGATTTGTGTCTGATATGAAATGACATAACTTTTCGATCGAATATTGTATATATCTGACTGCTGATGCTGTTCCGAGGTTTCTTTCTTTGTTTATCAATCTAAACAGGGATTTTCTGCCCCTATAAAAGTAATTTTATTATTGATTTCTTTGCTCCTAGGGAAATTCATAACACAACTCTAACATATACAGTGTAAGTTATTTGACTTGAGAAAATTTATGCATAATTTTTTTTAATATTATAACGAATCATTATCTTATGCCAATAGTCTGAAACTGGCAGACACGGACCGCATGCGGCACATAAGCAATTTTATGCGGTCCGCAAATTTATTTCAATTATGTATTTGTTGCAAAGATTTCAGTTACAGAAGTCCAATTTTACATTATTTCCATTAAAATTAAAAACAAATGTGAATAATGCAACAAAATAAATGTAAGTGAGACTAACTAATTTATAATTGCGGTATAAATCGTTTTCAAAGATTTGAAGATACAAATTTGGTTAACTCTTATTTGTACTTAATAAATACGCTCGAATAACGAATTTTTGCCCCAAATTGCTTTGTTTAAGAACACATTTATATGTGAACAGCTTCTTTTTTCACAACTGAAATTTAATAAAAAAGGAACCCGATTGAAAAATAAATATCTACAATCCGTGATGAAGATAATTTTTAGCAATTTTTCTTCAAGCCTACAAACTTCGGAAGAATGCAAATGCCATTAAATGTCACATGCTGTAGTGAGAAGTAAAGAAGTTTGTAATTATTTACATACAAACATATGTATATTTATAAGTGTTGAAGAAAAATTGAATAAATAAGAGAAAATGAATAAATTTTCATTATTTATTCTCAAATTTTCCCCAACTTGGACACATTTTCTTTCTTTTTTCTTTCTTTTTTTTTTTTTTTTTTATTTATTTAAATAGAATAATTTTTATTATGATTAATACAACACATTGAAGGATTTGAAATAAATGTCACTTTGAAAATTTAATATTTAGTTGTCAGTATGTTTGAATTCTAAAGGCTGCGAACAAAAATGCCGTGCAGATACCAAATTTAAGAATTCAGATAGAAAATAAATATAAATTTGAATTTTTTTCTTTACTCTATCATCATTACTATTATTATTATATTTATTACTTTTCTTATAGGTTTTGAGAAATATTTAGTAAGTGAACTTCGAATTCAGTTGAGTTTATTTTATTGACAAAAAATTTTCACTCTGTTTAAAAAAAAAAAAAAAAAAAAAAAAAAAAAAAAAACTGTTCCATCAGCTGTTCGGCTAATTGCTAAACATTGCCAAAATTGCTAAACATAACTGAATGGATGCCTGCATCGCTATTTCGCTACCGACTTATCGCTAAAGCATAATTTCATCTCGTTTGTTGTTCAAACGTAATTTTCTATAATGAATGATGCCTTTTCTTTGAAAATATTCAGAATCGGAATTCAGAAGTGCAGAATCGCTCATTTATTTGTTTGCCGCTTTTTACAAGGGTAAAAACAATTGAATTTTTGTCAATTTGATTTTACTTTTTAAATGAAAATAGATCTATGTGTACATATATAAAGTCAAGGGGGTGCGCAGTGCCATTTTTGTGCAATTCTGGGATTTTTTTTTTAAGTGAAAATAGGTCGATGTGCACATGGATACCGAGTATGTGCAATTCTTAAAAACGCGTCAAGCAGTAAGTGATTCTGCACTTTACCCTAAATTCTATTGCCTACTTTTCATCATGGGCAATTCCCAAATTGTTTAATCCATAGGATATCAAAAAAGGATTTAAAAATTAAACTAGCATTTCAATGGCATCTTAAGAAATATAGAACTATATAAACTTACGCAATCTGAAGCCAGCGCGAACGCTAGATTTGGCGCGCTGTTAAATGGGCGTGTTTGCTAGATTTGGCGCTTTTGCGCATACATTTTCGCTGGAATTTTTTTACGGCCCTCAAAACAGAACAGTATCGAAATTACTGTATTGTGAAGTTCAAAAATCTTTACATAATGTTATATAATTTCTGTGATTACTTTTATTGGAGCTACAGCTAAAGAAATTTCATAAGATTTAAAATTATAAAAATTACCAGCCTTCGCTTCATATGAATATAGAGTCAATATAGAAAACAGTTGGCAGCTCTAGCTACGGTTGCTCTACAAAATATGGTCACACTAACACCATTCTACTTAACATAAATAGCGATGATTAAGTTGTTGTAGCATCTTATTATTAATGATGAATTTTAGTTCAGCAATTTGAGACCTAATAATATAGCCCAAAATGTGAAGAAGCAATAAACTAATTAATTTATTTAGTAAAAGAAATAATTTTTTCTTAAAAGTTTGTTATAAGGTTATTTCGCTTGAGTCCAAGTTTTTGTTAAATGCTGTAAATAACTTTTAGAATATCGGTTTTAAACCTGAAACATTAACTGCTAAATATCTCAATTATTTTTATGACTTTCATGCTGTTGTTATCAATGTTGCAACCAATAATTTTACACATATTCATCTAAGCATAAATTGTATGAGTAAATTATCTCTATTTTCTCCACAGCCAGTCTGTTCTCCTCGGATCCGCGTTAGGATCAGTACTGATGGTCATTCTTGTCACTTTAGTTTCCTGTTTAATATGCCGAAGATGCGTCCCTTACAGAAGAGCTCATCCCTCTCTTAATGGAGGTAAGTCTTGCCAATAGTATTTTCCTCTATGAGTTTTCATTTAACTGCACACAGAAACCAATCTTGTTTATCGTGTCATGCTTGCTAACTTTCAACAATACAAAAACTCTTCCTTAATTATCCATGTCAGAAGGGCATTTTGTTCCAATATCCACAGCAAATTTGCGCAGATAAAAGTTTAGAATTTTCTTTTCTATAACTATTTTTATGTTTAAAATAATTTTTTAAATCTTACTAGCCTATAATGTTAACCCTTTTGGACCCATTTACTGAATAGTTAGAATCAACTGAACATCTACTTCGTCCCATTTAACTGCAGAGAGCTCGAATCTTAGCCAAGTTTCTCTTGCTCATACAGAAAAATACCAGTAGAATGTATACAAACCCTTTCAAAAAGCCCATTAGAACAAATTTATCCCATAAGTATATAATATTAGCATTGTTGCGTGCGTACAGGTTCGTAATATATTCTATGCACACAGAACCGATGATGGCTTGATAAAATTTATTTTACTAAAAGGAATGCTTTAGAATTCTGTAATTTTCGGTAAAAACACTAGTATCGCAGTGCACAATCAGTAACTACACTTCAAATTACTGAGAACGTTAAACACCGTGCAATGCCAAGCGCATCTAAACAACGAAGCTCACACGGACATATCTCAGTTCTCCGTAGTCGACTCTAATTGAGAAACCGAAAACTGATACTCTCTCTTCGGTCTTATACAGTTTTTCCTCGGCTGCAGAGAAATCTCTAGTATCTTCCATTTCTAGAAATAACTTTCGTGCTCATAAATAGTTATTCTTTTATCAGCTTCAGGATTTATTTGGAGACTCACAAAATGCTTTTTTCCTTTCGTGGCAAACATCAGCTAGCAATCTTGCTACCTAGTACGCTAGTATTACATAGATTACATCTCTAACTATACGAACTGCAGAAAGGTAAAGTTTCGCAGAAGGTAAAGTTTCTTTACATCCTTTTCAGATTTCAATTTAAATAGAAATATCGAAAATAATTGGTAATCTTAATTAAAATAGAAGATATACTTATTCCCTTGAACTATTTATGATCAGAAATGCACAGTCTAATTCGGCATTAAATGAAGATTTTCTAGTAAGAAATATTGTTCTTAACCGTTGATATAAATTCATTTTCTTTTATGAGTGACCTCGAAGATATCATAACGTAACATTTATCTTCTGTCTTTCCTCAATTTCAGGTCCTTTATATACTATGCATTGCAGCAGCACAACGAGTGGTATGGCGAACATGTACTCCTTCTCCGGTCAAACCACGGCAGTTACAACTCCTTTGGATGGTCCACACGTTTTAGTAGACTTAGATAATCCCGAACATGCATATACCGTACCTATGAACAACCAGAGAGGTTAAGTACATTTATATGACTTTAGTCACCCTTTAACAATCCATTTTTCATTTATTTTTATCGAAAGTACATAGGAAAACAAACAAGAAATGAGCATTATTTTTACGGGCACCGATTTATCCTTTTTTCATTCCAAATTCGGCAAACGGCATGTCAGAGGGTTTTATCGGATGAAGATGTGCTGGTGGAAATTTTGGTCTCCGTCTCCATTCTCGACAGTGTGATATACCGTTGTGTGCTTTCATATAGCTCTAGCCAATCCTACTTCCTTCTTATTCGGTTGTACGTTTTGGCACGTCTGGGATAGCAGGCGGCTGGAGCATCATGAAAAATTCTTAGAACACGGCTGCGAAGTTATCTTGGTACTACCAGAAGCCATTGCTGTCCCATAGGATCATAGCTTCTATTGTAAAATGTACCAGTTATTTGATAATTTTAGCACGCCTCGCTTCTTTTGAGAGTTTTAATGATGGACTTCAACTGTTTATCCTTTTTGCTGCTCTTTTTCGTAATCTGCGGTTTCTGCAAAGAAAGGGATATCGTAATTGTTCTCAATAATTTGTTTGACAAGGGGCTTCCTTGATAGTGAATCTGTATTCAAGTTTTCTAAGATACTGATGCCGTACTCCTGAAAAATGGGAGCCCACTGTACAAGTCTTCCAGATGAATGACCCACTGGCCAGCCAAACATAAACTGTGGTGATTCGCGACTACGGTGAAGGGTTTTCCATAGAGATAGGATCTGAATTTTCTGATCACCCAGATGACGGCAAGACATTCCTTTTCGAACATATAATAGTTCCTTTCAGCTGCAGTAAGGGACCTGGATGCGTACATTTTCTGCCATCCTGAATCTGAATCAGTACTGCACCGATGCCATAGCCGCTAAAATCCGAATGTGTACCTCATTTCTGCATTTGGAATAAAATCCCCTAAAGCAAGGCCATTGCTCAGTAATATTTTGAGTGTTGTAAAAGATTCCCTCTGTAATATGTTAAATAACAATTTTGCATCTTTCTTCAATAAGTCATGCAGGTAGGGTTTTTGCGATATCAGCAAAATTTTATAAATCGTCGTAGTAGAAGTACAAGCCCTGTAAACTTCGGCCATAGGTGATATTTAATAGAACAGGGAATTTTGCTACAACCTTTATCTTTTGTGGATCGTAATAGATCCCATGTTGATCCAAATGGGGCCAAACTTTATTACAATCATCCTCAATGATGACAACTGAATCTGGTATCGATAGACTTCTTTCGCATGTCAGAAATCCGCTGCCAACAATCTGTTGCCATTTATTTAAATCTTTATTGTCTGGAAGGATTTTTACAAGTTGAGATTTTTGATTTTCACTATCGATATTGGCACTGGTGTCATTGAAAAAGTTCCATCCAAGTATCATTTAATGGCTACATTACGGAAACACAATTCAAACGGCTTCTTAGTCCAGTTCAAGTCAACCTTTAAAATACAGCGTCCCGAGGCGGCTCCAGGTTTAGCACAAGCAGTTTTCAGTATAGGTCCATTCTGAATAATCATAGGAGCATTTTATAATTATTATCCTCAATAAGCATAGCAGAACTGCCAGTGTAATTCTTCGGATATGACGAAATAATCGACACTCAAATCAACAAGAATGTTTTACACAGTGTTCGGTCATGTTGATAAAGGTGGTTTCTTTTTTAACATGGCTGTTGTGTACGTCAGAGGATTTTCTTCATCCGAGGCTTAATCTCCTGCACAGGTCGCTTGAGTTAATTTTCCTCATTGGGTCGGCGTGGGGAGCGGATGGAACTTTATACTGGTGACTGTGACTGTCTGCGATTAAGAGAGCGCAGTGGATAAGGTGAACTGCTCCTCATTCAGGAGGAAGTAGGCTGTGCATAATCGTCGTCGAAGCTGTATAGAGAGTCAGTGTCTATATCTAGCATACCATTTTAAGTACCATTTTATAAAACTGTGTTGGTTTCTTGTCAAGGTTAAGTTTTGTATTCCCAGTTTTTATATTTGCAGATCCTTGAACTCTCAGATTCTTATTTACAGTGTTTTTTGATATTATTCTCAAACGTTTTATGTTTATCTGTTACTTATTATGTTTAGCTGTTATTTCTGTTACATCAAAACAAATGTTTTCAATTTAATTTGTGAATTTCGAATTGTATTTAAATTATATCATAATATCTTTATCCTTGTTTTTAATAAATACTGGATGCGGTGTGTAAGGTGGGATTACACTATGTACCGTAACAGATAAACTCTAGATCCTCTGGCATAGTTAACATTGAGGAACAAGTCTTTTATCGTATGAACTGAGTTTAGACTTGTATGTACTTTTGGATTCTGAACTTAAGAAGAAAACATATGAGAAAAACGCCACTATTTACTGGCAGTTCAGAAAATGAAGACATAATCATTTGCACGAAAAGTGTATCATCAGTATTTTGAGGATGAATGTAATCTACTACATTTTGACCTAAACTGAAGAACCATAAAAAGTTTTACATTGCTGATTTGAAATTTCTTATCTTTTGAAATTAATTACAATTAGCGACGTATATTACTGCAAAGTAGTTTTTGAACTTCCCCATGTTATTGAGTAAAAGCGCCAGGATGAACTCAGTTCGAAAATTGTTCTGCTCCACGAAAATAGAAAATATATTTGCGCATACATCCTATCTTGAATAGACTTACAAAATGTAGTTTTAAAGTTGCCATTTTCTGTTCCTTTTCTTAAACCTTGCCTCGAGTTACATTTTTTTGTTCCATCATTTAAATTAGCATACAGAATAATATCAGTTTAACGATGATGAAGAGGTGAAAGATAGCACTAAGCATTACTTTAAGAAGTGGTTAGATTCTTCTTATCTTTAGTACTAAGCACTACCTTAAGAAGTGGATAGACTCTTCTTATCTTTAATAATCAGACTATAAATTAAGAGATAAAGTAAGAAACTTTAGTAGATCAATGACGACATCCCAGGAGATGGATAAAAATTAATGGCAAGTTTTTCAAACAATCTACTATAATTTATGTTAAAATTAGAATTTACTGAAATACTTTATATCCATTCACTTCCAAAGTTTTAACATAAAAAAATATAAATTTCAATAAAAATCTAACCATCTATTGTGTATTTTAAAAGGAAAATATCTTTGCATGAAAATGGAAATAACGTAGCAACAGATATACGATTTTTATTATTATGCTCATGTAGATTAACATCTGAAATTTTAATAAAGAGTTCAATTCATTCAAGTCGTATTGTGACTGCATTCAGTCAATTTTCAGCCGTACCATTCTAAATAGCATTTCTTGCCAACACTAATCAAAGCCTAAATGTTATAGTAGCATAATTTCAGCAATGATGGAATTGATTGTGGAAAGCGTTTCATTGATGTTTAACGATGTTACAAAACATTCAGTAATTTGCAAAGGCTCACAAGCAAATACAATAGCCTCCCTCTTAACCGACTTCTGCTTAACCTGATCTCCACTTTAACCGGTCGTAATTAATTTAAGTACGATAATCAAAAAATTATAAAAAATTGAAAGTTCCATAACTATGTATTTGAAGTACAAAATAAATAATAAAGTTAAAAAAAAAAGAAATCTACAATGATAAAATCTTATCGGAAACTTTTATCACCGTATCAAAGAACCGCAGAAGGAGAGGCAGTTGAAGAGACAATCATTTCTACTAACAACTTCGGGTAGTCATTCAAGTATCTTAGTGGATGCCACGATGTTGAAGACGTGAAGCGGTGGTTGACTGTTAACAGGGATCTTCAGCTAAAAACTTTGCCAGTTGAGGACATCATCGGAGCTGTCGCATCGTGGTTTACGATGACGATGTCTCCGATATCGATGGCGATGCGACCTCCGTCATATCACATACAGATGGAGAAAAAGCACTGGAAATGGCTGTATGCTATTTGGAATGACAAACATCGGCCTCCTCTATTTATGCGAAACTACTTTAAAAAATGGCGAAATTATGGAGAGAGCTGCCGAATTTGCAGCCTTCAGAAAAAAAAAATTACTTAATTCTTTAAACATTCCTACTAACGGTATGTAAAACTTTTGTAATAAATTGACACATTTAATGAATGCTTACTTAACTATAAAAGTTAACTGTTATGATACTTACATAGCTTTCGCAAATCAATCATTCTCTGTGCCCGTGAAAGGCTGAACAACCCCCGCAACGTTTTACTAGGGCGAAACTTTGTGCAAGTGTCTCCTTGATCTAAGGCTATCAAAAAAAGCAAAATTCCTTTAAAGCAAGGCAAATCCTGAGAGAAAATTTGTTTTTGGTGACCAAAAACTTTATTTCCTTTTTATTCGTGTATTTTTTTTTATTATTTTCTAAGAATTTAGCAGTTAATTTTCACTTAATGGCTTTCTTTTAAGTATGTCGAATCAAATTTATTGCACTTGTAAAGCATTGTTTATAAATAATTAGGAAAATTAGAATTCACGTAAACGAGTCATTTTTAATTTTATTTAAGATATACATACAGTAATTATTGTTACATTTGCTGCCAATATCAGCTTTTAAATTTGAGAAATTTCCAGCAGAAGATTTAATAGCAACGCGTCTACGGCTATAAAGACAACATAAATGATTAACGTCATTTCTTACGTATAGAACTTTCATATTGCTCGGATTTTCGCCTGGAGATTAATGCGTTATTGCTCCAACCGTAACGCATTTTATTTCGCTTTCTGTAAACAATATCAGTTTTCGAGGAAACGAATTAGGGATGCCGTTCGGCTATTCTTTGTGCAGTTTTGAAAATTAATGTCGTCGTAAGATAATAACACTAAAACATCGTAAAACACTGCCGACAATAAACGGAACGGCAAAACAGATTTTCTGTCTTTGCGATCAAAAACAAACAAGCAATCAGTTACCGAGCTCCATTTGCTATCATAAGCTTTCCCGTGGACTATATATTGCCTGCCATTTTCTCAGCTGAGCTTATTAGGTCATTAAATTCGAATTACAGTGAAATTCCTCACGTTTTTCTTTCCATTGATTCTCAGACGATTTTGCTTGTAAAAACAGTTTATTCTTTATCTTTAGATAAACTTCCACTTCATTACGGAATTGATCCGCCTATGGACGTTTATTTTTGTACCTGTTTATTTTTAATACTTTGAGAATTTTATCGCACATAACGAACAAGAAAAGCAAAAGTTTTATTTATTTATTTACTTTTAATGCTATGGTTTTAAATAGAAAGCATTAAAAGTAAATAAATAAATAAAATTCTTTATCTTGAGCTTTTTACATTTTCGGAGGCTTATTTTAAGCGGTTAGAGAATTATATATATATTTATTTTCTTTTTACTAAGAAAGAAGTAGATAAAAGTAAAAAGAAAAATTTTTGCTTTTTTTTTATCCTTCCAATCGCTAACTGTATTTTAAGAAAGTTATCGGAATTATATTAAGTTTGAATGCATTTTTAATAAACTTGTAAGTACACGCCTGAATATTTTTTATTTTCTTTAATGTAGTCTTTAGTGTCTCGGTGTTGTATTTTCTTCGTTCAGATCTGGGAAAATGTTTGAGTAATAATTAAAAGGAAATCGGATTTTATGCGATGACTGTACGTGGTATTTCTTAAATAAAAGTACATAAAATGTCCCTTTAGATAAAAGTGCATGAAATTGTATGCAGTACTTTCACATAATGTGCCTGAAAATGAGTGCAATAATAGGCTGTTGATTTCTATTGCAGTTAGATTAACTATTAAAAAAATTTCGTAATGTTCGTTAATTTGTGGGATTCATTCTTTTTTCAGTTCTTTTGGAAATTGTTTCAAAAAAATGAACTGTAGGGATATTAGAGTTTTTTGAAGCAGGAGTACATGAAAAATGAGCGATGCCCTCGCCGGGACTTAAACCTGGACTTCCCGAATACACGCCGAGTGTGCTACCATTACACCACGAAGGATGCTGGAAGGAGGAAGAAAATACCTTGCATAACTAAGTTTTAAAAATAGAGATAAAGGAAGTAAGAATGAGAGGGGATAGGACAACGAAAAAGTCTTTTGAATTAATATTCTGATGTCGCATGTATTGGCCGAGTAAAAAATTCCTAATATCTTCTCAAACTATGCCGCAAAGTAGCTGAAGATGCTGTAAATAAGTTATACACTTTATGTGCGATGCAGTTACACATTTATTGTGCAAAAAACCATTAATTTAATTTACTGCAGTTGTTGGTATCAGCCTCATCAGTTAGGTGGCCTCGAAGATAAGGCACAACCACTGGATGTAAGATGTCAGAAATGTACCCATCTGCGTTTAAATTACTGTCGATCCGAACTAGAGATGTGCGTGTCGTGTACACAATGGCTGCCCAAACCATCGCACAAAGTGCAGGTCCCCTATGCCAATATCGAATGCAAGCAGGCGATATGCGATCTCCTCGGACCCTTAGACATGTATAAGGACATCAGAATACTGCACGTAGAACCGGAACTCGTTTGAAAAGGCGACATTGTGCCACTCCTGACCTAGCTTTGACATCTGGCGGCTAGGAGTTGCTGTCTCTCTCTGTCCTGCATTGTCAAGGGAAGCCGAAGTAATGGTCACCCTGCTGATAGTCGACGCTGCTGCAAACGTCGACTCACCTTACGAGCAGATGAAAGCATGCCAATTTCCTGACTAATGGTCCGTGATGTGGTCGTACGGTTTTGCAGGTATGACCTCATAATATATCTGTCTTCTCTGGCGTTAATCATGGGAGGGCGTTGAAATCCTGCATGCCGTTCAGTATGAGCCTCAGCAATCCATTGATTCCATATTCGCGTGACAGTGGCTGAGTGTCGACCAGTGCGACCCGCAATAATCTACACTTTCGGTAAGTAACGATCCTACCTCTATCGAATTTGAAACTTGCTGGTAAGCATTTCCTCTTCTTATTCGAGACATAACAAGATATTTTGAGCAAACTCCAACCTTACAAAGCGCTTTCCGAATGAGAAATCCACTTTTCTTTAATGCAGTACTTCAGACATCTTTTCACAACTTTTCTTTAATGCAGTACTTCAGACATCGTTTATCCCTCCGTCGTTTAAATGCGCTAAAATACTAATCATTTGCATATCCCAACTTCTTTTCATGTGATTTTGACGTTCATCAGATCATTCCTTCCTGGTGTTACAGTTTTAATGGCCAGCAGTGTAATTAATTTCAGTTCTTTACTTTTGGTTTACGCAATAAATGCTAGCTGGTTCTGTAAGCACGAGCAGCGAGTTCTAATAATCTACTGATTGTAATAAAAGGATCTTTTATACCCTTTCACGTCTATGTTGTCCTTTGCAAGACATAGTGATAAGTCGTTTATCTCTTCCAGAGTCTAGGTAAGACTCTATAAGGCTTAAAATAACTTACATTATTTTAGATATGATATGAATCCTAATTTTGCTTCAATTCGAATCGTAAAATGAATCTTATTTACTCAAATTCAAATCCTTGAAATTTTTCATATAAGAAAAGTTTAAATTAAAATAAAAAAAATTACTTAAAATTCTTTATTTAAAACAAACATAAAAATCTTGAGTTTAAAAACAATTAAAAAAAAAAATTTTAAGAAAAGGGAAGTTTAGGAAAGAATTCATAATAAAAAAGAGGGGGGAAGGAAGTTTTTTGAAAGAAGTTTGACAAAATATATTTCAGTTAATTTCTTTTTACACTTTCTGTTAATTTTTTAAGTCAAAAGAGTGGAATATTCTGAATTATTTCAAGAATTAAAATTGACAAACATAAAACATGGAACAAAATCGAAATTTCACTCCAAAAATGCAGGATAGGAGGAGAACATCTGCAGAATAAAATTAATAATGCGGGTCAATTTAAATTCTCTTCTTTTAAAAAAAATTATTTTATAAAAAATTTATTTTAATAAAATAAAAAATATTATTTTATTCCCTTCTTTTTTAAAAAAATTTTTCGTTTAGACGTCAATAAAAATAATCTTTTCGAAGTTTAAGATGAAATGTTTAACACGTTTTCAAAATTAAAATCTGAAAGATTCAAATAATGGGAAAACTGTGAAGATTAGAGTTTTCGAATGACGAACATAATTTTTTTAAAGATTTCTGATTGAATGTTATATGCCTACTTAATTTAATTTTGACTAAATTTTCAACCTTTCTTTTCCTTTTTACTCAGGTATAAGCAGGCATATGGCAGCTGGCAGTGTTGCAGTGGGTTGCGAGACTCCTTCAGATCCTCCGCCTCCTTACAACGAGGCAAATCCTGCGAACGCTGGAGGGGAAATGATACATGGAAGTTCACCTACACCAACCAGGTACATAACTTCAGATCTGTGATATTCAAATACATATGATATTTAAAAACAACTGGAATATCGACATTACAAGTTAGCATTTCAAATCATGAATTGTGCTGCTAGATGTTGAGAGCTACGGATATCTTGCACTATTATTATATCTTGCACAAAAGTGGCATCCTGCCATTTTTGGTGACCTGCAACCATAAAGAACAAAGAATGTGAGTGAAGTGTTTTATGTTACTGGTGGTGGCGGTGGTAGTAAGGACAACTGCGGTTGAGATCGTTGTTATGCATTGCAAAATCTTTACCCAAATTACTTTTAATAAATCACTAGTGTACGAGTGGTTTTCGAGGCACAAAAACGGCGGCATTTCAATTGAGGACCGCTACCACTTCTAAATTCACTTGTGAGCGGAACTAAAACATTGAGGTAATGTGACAAATGCTACGAATGAAGGTTGTTGAGATACCATTTTTCAGCTTTCTAAAGAAACATTCTCTATCCGACACTTCTAGGGAAAAATATCATGGTGCATTTTATAACACTGTTCCTAATAACTAAATCTTCTTCTTACTCAGTCTAACTTTTTCATATTTCCGTAGATAAATCAACGTCTCAAGACGTGATTAGGGAAAAAAGCAATTACGTGCTGTAGATTAAGTGCCGTGAAATCGCTCATATGCAATAATTAAGAAAATTTTCAAATTATGTCTATTTTCACGAAGAGTATTACACCAAAGGTACGAATTATACCGCCGAAGAATTATACAAATATTTAGAGTCGAATATTTATGCATACATGTGCGTGTCTGTAGAACTGTGATTGTGGAGGGGATATTTGCGCACGAGGGGTTTTGGGCGATTTTTGCGCTCGTTCTCCTTCACGAAATTCGCCGTGTTTCTCGCAAGAGTTGGTTGAATTTTATAAAGGTATGAGATAAAATGAGTAGCTGCGAACGGATGGAGGACGGAATGAGATTGAGGATTGACGATAAATTAAAGTAGGCCAATCAAGTAGCTATAGAGCTCAGTATGACGCCCAGTGTTTTAGGATACTGGATCCATATCGAGAAGACCTGGGAAGACAAGATTTACTGCTCTTGGACAAGGTCTATCAATACCCAGTTGATGAATGAGGATCGTTGTTTGGCAATTTCAACGCGGCGACACACGATTCCTACAGTTTCACAGCTCAGTGAGCTTTATGCTGCTACTTAGAACCTAGTTTCACGCTCTACAGTTGCCCGAAGGCTTCCTCACATAGGGCTGTACGCCATTTTTGCGCTATTTGCGTTCCGCTTAGCGCAGCACACAAGAAAAAGCATTTAACATGCGCCTTGGATCCGATTTTAGTGGAACACCATGCATTTTACAGATCAGTCAAGATTCATACTGGACACTGATTCTCGGGAAACCTGTATCTGAAGAGAATCTGGAACACGATAGCATCCCTTCCTCATTGGGAAAAGCGATCTTTACAATGGTACATGTGTAATGGTTTGGGGAAGCATTATGTTCGATGGCCGCACACCCCTGCATGTGCTTATCAAAGGTTTTCTGACTGCTGTGAGATATAGAGAGGTGATGTTAGAACTCTATGTTTGATTTTTCAGAGGCGCAAATTGTCCCGGGTTCCTGATATTGGACGAGAACGCTCGTCCATATAGAGCTCAGCTGGTCACGATTACCTGGAAAGTAAGCAAAGTAAGCATATTCGCCGCATGGATTGGTCAGTTACATCTCCTGACAATAATCCTATAGTACATGTCTGAGACGATCTTGGTAGGGCAATTCCATCTCGCCATCCTCTTCCGAAAGCCTTCCCGAAGTTTAAAACTACCTTGCTGCAGGTGTGAATTTGAGGTAGCTCAGCACTATAAGTTTGACTGATAATCATAAAATGGCTCTTGAATGGTAAATCTCTTTCTCTATTGCAAATGTACACTCACTTCCAAAAGTTAAGCACGAAGATGTAAAATGCAAAAAAATCAACAAATACTGCTTTGATTGACACAAAATTCGGCAGGAAAGTAGCATATAAATTTATGCATAAAACAAAATCAATAATTATATACAGAAATGAAAACAATATTAAATTTCAGATAATGACATACTGGAGACTTAAACAGAATTATGTATAAAGTGAAAATAAACAGCATAAAATGAAAAAAGGACATTAATAGGGTATGTGATCCCCCCTTATCTGTATACAAAGTTTGCACCTTGTGACCATGCTTTCAATTAGGTGGTCAACCACCGCAGAATTAAGCAATCGCCATTCTTCTTGTAGAGCAGTTTCGAGCTCAATTAAGAGTGGCTGGAGGTAGGAAACGTGAAGATACAGCACTGCCGAGAGCATCCCAAAGATTTTTCAATGGGATTAAGGTCGCGTGAATATGCTGGTCACGCTCATACGCGCAATCCCTTCACTCTCCAGGTAGTCATCGACGATGTCAGCTCTATGGGGACGTGCGTTATCGTCCGATTAAAACAAAAGTAGGGCCAACTGCTGCAGTGTACAATCTCGCACAATGGGTTCTAGAACTTCATCTCGATACCGGACAGCCATTCAAAGAACCCCGTTTAAAGATTGTGGAGGTCGGTGCGGTATCCTAATGAAATCCCTGTCCCACACCATAATGCTTCCGCCTCGGAATTGCGTGATAGTTTCGTTGATGTTTTGGGATTGATTGCGTGTTCGTTGTTCCCGCCATATCTTTATACGCTTGTGAATTGGCTCCAGAGCAAATCTTGACTCATCAGTAAACATGACATTGCCCCAGTCAGACACATTCCAATTGACATGTTTCCGGCATCACTGTAATCGTGACCCTCTTGATTGGATGGATAGAGGAACACAAACTTGAGGTACCCAGGCATACAGTCCACTCATGTGTAATCTTCGGCGTACAGTAGCTGCAGATATCGTCTTACCAATCGACGCTTTAACCATAGATGTCACACGTGTGGAGGTCGCTCTGCGATTCCGCTTGGCTACAATAGCAATATATCGATCTTCCGCGAGGGTTGTAACCCTTAGGCGACCGGCTACTGTCTGTGTGGTTTGGAATTGTTTCCATAAACGTGAAATTACAGAATGATGAATGCCGAAGAAAAGAGCAACATCTGTGATCGACTGTCCTGCTTCAATACGCCCCACAACACGCCAGCGCTCAGAAGCTTCCATTCGTCTTCTGGAAGTCATAGAAACACGTATGTCTTGAAAACAAATTGTTCGAAAGTTTTACACACCTTCCATCAGCACTTACAATCAACTTCTGTAAACCTTCATAAAACTGGCTTCTTATAAGACTGCCTTTTTTGCATATTTTTTGACATGAAAGCGCGACTGGCTGTTTCCTAACATATTTTCCATCTACCTCTGCAGCGAATTGCATCCTTTTCAATTCTGATTGGCTTCCGGAAATTAGCATTTTTCTCTCCGTGCTTAACTTTTGGAAGTAAGCGTATATTCATATCAAATTTCATTAAAATCTGTTTATTAGGTTTTCAGAAATTCCACGTAATATGCAAATTCTCTTAATTTTGCATCGTACTTGCTTAATGCATGTGTATGTTACTTGATATGAATGTGTTAATGCATGATTGATATGTTACTTGATATGAATGTGTTAATGCGTGATTGATATGTTATGCATATGATATGTTATGATTGATATGTTAATGCATGTGTATGTTACTTGATATGTCTGTGTTCCAGAAATGTTTTTATGTTTCCAGCGGTAGGCTAAACGTTGAAAGCGTGCAGCTGTTAAGAACTGTTGAAAGCTGTTAAGAACGCTTTCAAAGGGGCTAAAATGTGTAAGCGTAAAGTAAAATGAAACTTCTTGAAAATAAATCCCGTTATTTTTGGGTACTCCCTTCCGCATCATTTCAAAACAAGAGCTTGTAAATAGGCAGATGAGAAAATAATCAATGTAATAATTAACTCACTACAGCTCAGACGACTTCTTACTTAATTCTTGTATCTGAAGGAATTCAATTTATTAAACTTACGAGCACATATGCCCTCTAGGGTTGTCTTTTTAAGGAAACGTATCTTCTACAGCGTTTAATAATTTCTTTATCACCAAAGCCGATTCCGTTAAGATTATCAAATGAACTAGAAAATGTTTAAACTAAAATAACTGAAAGCTGTAAAAATACTGCGCACTTTTATGCAAAAATCAGGAAAGCTATGCAGATTAATAGAAATGTATATAAAAGTTCCTTTAAGTTAATTAATGCTTCCGATGTTAATTAATTTGATTTATAATAAATGCACCCTTATAATAAAATAGAAGTTCTTAATATAAAACATACATGCACTGCAACATGGTTATGAAAATAACTTACTTTTTTTACTTACGGTAATTAATTAATTGATTAATTGAGCATGTAGAAAGTGCCTCTAGGAAGTATAAGGGCAAAAAATTTGACAAATTCCACCAAATATGCCAAATGTTAATTCACATAAATTAAGACATCAACGTCCTTTTACTGAAAAACCGTCTCCTTACCGAAAGAATTTGTCTATGCTGTTAATCCGTTATGTTTCTATGCTATTATGGATTCAAAAGCTAAGCAAAGAACAGAAATAAAATTTTGCTGTACAACAGGAATTAATACTCATTCTCTTCATACACATTATTTTTAAATGAGTTGCTTACAGAAGAGATTTAGGAAACCTAACAAGAAATTTAAAACGTTATTCGAAAATATGTTTTATGTTCTAATTGAGCAAACACTTACAAAGATTACATGAAAGGCTATGAAAAGGAATGTTGGTTTTTCTTTCAACTTTGGATTTTGCATGAATCTTTGGAATTCTGTACTTGTTTCTACTGTGCAAACTGAAACTGTTTACACGTTTTGCAGATTTTTAACTTCTGACATTGTTCTGTTCATGACAGTCGTAATAATCATATTAAAACGATCTGAATTGTACTTTTTTTATGCAAGCTTGCACAAAATTATCTACCTCTTCTAAAATCGTAAAAGCATATTTCCCAATTTCTTTGTTACTAACTTCCTGAAATTTTCGCTTTGCTTAATTGTTGCTTTTTTACGCCAGTGTAGCAAATGGCGGTACTAGAATAAATATGTTTTCGATCAAGATTTTTCTAACGCATACATAATTCAGAGCAAAATTAAATTTATTTTCATAAGATAAACATTTCAAAGAATTTTGTCAGATGCGATAATGAAAAGCCAATATTGAAATCTGAAGAGTTATTGAGTTTTCTTCTTATGAAAAGACATATACGAGCTATTCAAAAGTCATTAGTAGAAGAATTTATATCTACATAAAGTTTCCAGTTCTTGAGTCTTACAATGATAATTCAAGTGTTGCGAAAATATTTCGGGACTAATTATCTTTTTAACGATTATTCCTATCCTCAATTTAAGAATTAAATTAGACTATCGCAAGCTGAACATTTCATGTCACAATCCAAAGTCTCGAAGAGATTGTCACCAGAATTACGGAAAGTTAATAAAATATTTAAATAGTTTTAAATTCTTAAATTATCAAATTATTATGCTACTTGCTGTTTTAACGTATAAATAATTTTAATGTAAACATTTGCATTTCATTCGCTTACCATAGTATGTTCCTCTAAAATAGGTGCTTCAAAGTCTTCTCACTCTCCCTCAGTTACAATCGTAATGTGTGTCGTCGTCACTGCACACCACGTAACTTCTGCACCCCATTTGAAAACATATTATAAATGAGCGTCCATTCGTGCGCTTTTAACAAAGCCTAATGAAGCCCACTAAACGGAAATGAAATGAGGAAACAGCCACAGCTGTCGTTACCATGGTTAAGAGGAAAGTCGTGTGGAGGAAATTACCCTGAAGTGCCTATTATAAAGCAGAAGACTATAGTTTCAAAACTAATCTCCCCTCCCTCCCCCAGGAAATAAAAAACATAAAAATCATAAAGAACATAAAAATAACGCATTTAAAACGAACTGTTAACTACAACAGTGCCAAATAATAAATAAAAATTTTCTGTGATAATATTTTATCATCAGTTTATCGCCACTTGGAGATTTCTACGTTTCTTTAATAAAGAAAAATTTAAATATTCAAAAAGCAATTGTGCATTTATTTTACGAGAGCACTTCGCGAAATCCGCAATAAATATGCCTCTTAAATAGAAGTACACTGCGAAAAAAAAGGGGGGCGAGGGGCGACAGTTCTATATCTCCCGTTCTACTGCACCGATTGACGTAATTCAACTTGCGTTTTTCATGTCTTAAAAGCGCGACTTAGGATACGCATTAGATTTGTATATAGCATCGTTCTAATATAGGTATTTTGACACAGTATCGGAAATTTTCTGAAATGACATGCCAATTTTTTTACATATTTCAATTCTACGACTCCGCCAAACTACCAAGTTTTGTAAAAATTGCATGAGTCGTTTTTCAGAAATTAGCTCTCAAAATTTTAGCTCCTCAATGTTAATTGAGTTTGGTATATATTTATTAATATCTCTTTTTTTATTAAACTTATTCGACTCTTCCTTTCACATTTTAAAATTCGGGTTCATTCCAAATAAAATTCGGCCATTTTTTATGATTTATTTTTAAAATTTGTATTTTAAAACCATTTATATAAATTTTTCGAAAAAAACTTTTGTATTATAATCTATAAATTTTTTACCATCATCTTAAAGTAGACGTATTTCTAAGCATACCTGCCAAAAATTACAGTTTTTATTCAAAATTTCTTGGATCTTGGATCATATCTTTACTGCTGGCTTTAGCTACTAGGAGCTCTTACCAATATATTATCATTATACCATAGGCCATAAAGTTAAAAATTTAAGAGCTGTATTTAAAAATACACCGCGCCCGACGGCGAGATCAATAAACGAGAGAACTCACAAAATAAGTTTTGCTAAATTGCATAGCATGGCATATAATGGGTGATTATATCAATGGCGGTGAGAGGCGAAATGAAAGTTTAAGCTTCTGGGTGAGTCTAGAAGAGCAGAAACCACGTGATCAGTTTCCGGCATTAAGATTGGTCGAGGAGACAGAGTTCGAAAAATGAAGTTTTTTGTAGTTTTTGGAAATAAATAAAGTTCGAACATAGTAAAAGCAACATCTATCTGTGAATTTAAGAGTCCTATGTCTTTTGAAACACTTGAAAAATCATCTAAACTTGCGAGATAATCATTAAATGAATAGGAAACTGTAAGAGGCGAAAATGAGGCCATGTGGCTCACTAGGGCTAATGAGTGAGAGTAAGCACTTGGTGTTGACCACGAACTTTGATTTTAAAACACACGATACGAAATAGTAAAAATAAAAAGTAAAAGTAAAAATCTTGGCTAAATAAGTAGTAAAACGAAGAATTCATCGATGAAAAATAAAGTCCTAGTAGTAAAATGAAGAATTCATCGATGAAAAATAAAGTCCTAACTTTGCAAAGTTCATCTTTCTTGAAAAGTAACTGAAGAGTAATAGTAAAATAAAAATTTTGTACAATATATACACTACCATCACTTCGAATTGTGGTGGATCGTTCGAGGTCTTTTCACTACGTGCTCAATAGTAGGGTCATAGTCTGTAAGTGATTTAATAGCTTCATAGTGAGAATTTCTCATATCGTCAAAGAAGTTGTGTGCAGAAATTAGGATTTGGTTGTGAATTGGGTTGATATCCAGGTCATTGTGAATTTGAGAATTTCGCACGAACCAGGATGCTACGTCAGATTTTGTTTTGAAGAACATTTAATTTTTGTCTGTCTATTTTTCGGGCAGTAGCCCAGGCTGGAACTGCATAGAGGATTATTGGGCGAATAAGTGAGATGTAGATATTTTTCTTGGTACGGAGATTTAACTTAGAGTTTCTTCCAATTAATGAGTAGAGAGCAATGAAAGCAGCGTTAGCCTTATTTGTAACATATTGAATATGATCTTTGAAATTTAGGGTTTTGTCAATATAGACACCTAAGTATTTATAGGAGTTGGCAACAGGAATATCATGGTTATTGAGTCGGATATTTATATTCACTGGTATATTTTTCCTGTATCTGCGAGAGATCAAAATTTCGGAAGATATAGGTGAATTTATATATGGGCGCGTTTTGAAATTGGGCATATTTGTCGAAAGCGGTAAAACATCAAATGTGATTTAGACACTTTGTTAAAATTATTGATAGTAGGAACGATGTGACAACGGAACAACGTGTCTTTTTTCCCGCTCCGGCATAATAGAAGAGAAAGGAAAATTGGTTGCCACATATTCAGAAGTTCGTCAAGGGAATTATTCTTGGAGCAAACTGAAAAAAATGTCCGTAAATTTCGCATCAGATTTTACAAAATTTAATATCTAGGCGTAATTTGAGCCTTAGAATGGAAATATGGGAAACAAATGTTATTTCAGAAAAAAAGTCCGATTTTGTGTCAAAATACCTATGTTAGAACAATGCTATATATAAATGTAATACATATAGCATTATATATATATTACATTTATATATAGCAGTTTATACAGCATTTAGTAGTATTTCTATGTCTTTTGTAATACAGGAAGAGGTATTTTATCCCATTCCTATTGAACAGCTTTCCAAAGTTCACAAAGGGTTGTAAGTTATTTCATATTTAAAAATTGCGTATCAAATATGTTCTTGATAATATGTAAAGTTGATCTCAATATTTTTCTCCACTCTCTTTATTTTAAATTTGCCGTTATATGAAAGACCAGCAATAATCTTCAATCCCTTTGAAAACGTTCTTTAGATTCTTTGAACCATGTTTTAAGGTTTTTTCTTCTCTTTAATGATAATAAATGGATCTCCTATTATGACAGTCTTTTAAATGCATTCAAGATTCATCTACTGTAACAACATTTTTCTATTTTTATCCGGATAAATGTTTCTCATAAAGAATTCTGCAGCGCTTTCTGTACTCGGCTATATGCCGTGAAGAAAGACGATGCACATCATGTTTTTCCGGCCTTTTATGTTTCAAATCAACATAAATTACTTTACAGTTGACACTGAGCATTTTAATGATTTTGCAATTGTCCTTTGACTTAGCGGATTGTCTTTTAGCATTAAGGATCTTACATTTGCAACATTCGAAATATTCCGTTTTTGTGTTGGATACGTATTTGGAACAATTTTTCCACTCGAAGCCAAACTTTGACGTTTCTTTCTTTTCTTTTTGACAATATTACCTATCTTTGCTTTAGATATCGAAATACCATGGCTTTCACTGCGTTTCTTAATATCTAGGTACGAGTAATTTTCTTCGGAAAGAGCGCAAACATAGTCTTCCATCCACTGCTTCTTTAAAAGCGCCATTTTTCGTGAAAACAAAAACTGACAAGTAGCAAACGATAATTTATGCTTTCAAAAATAAAGATGCAGTTAAAAAATAACTTCCAAGCAGATGATTTTTTTTTACAGTAAAGCAAAATCGTCTAAAAAATGTGCGAACAGCCCGTCCGTATATCTGATAAAGATATGGTAGCATATCTTATTAGGGTATATGCTAAAACTATGTTGCAGCATAGTTAAATATAAATAGTTTCTTGAAAAACAGTCATGGTTTTTGTGATATGTAATGTATTGATTAGACCGTTCAATTACTTAAACATTCCTTTCTTCAACAGCTTTGACTTGAGAGCTTCAAGCGGAGGAACTGTCCGTCATTCAACCAATCATCAACAGAGAAGACAAGTGAATAACACGAGCTCCGCGCAAAACAATCTATATTGGTCTACCAAATTCTGATAGAATTTTAAAGAAGCGGCAGAAAATATAGCAATTTCAGATTTGTGTGAATTATATGGATATTTTTCTATGAGAGATGTATGGTTGGGTATCAGTGAAATGTTTTCATTGTGCGGTGCTACAAAGATCACTGAATTTTCGAAATTGACCTTAAAACTCAATAATGAGTGAAGCTGCTGCCAGTCTGAAATCGAGATGTAATTAAAAAAAGATGCAATTTTTATCCTATTCACAAGTGACTTGTAAAGATATTCACTGGAAAATGTTATAATGAAAACAAATGCGTTTTAATGAGATGTTTCCGATTTTTGTTTAGTTATATGTGAAAGAAAATGTCTTAGATATATGTATCTTGTTTTTGGTAATTCATTGTCGTTCAAATGTATAGACTGAATTCATTGTCCATTTCGTTGCTTAAATTATTGTTCATACTTATTCTGATTATGAATTTTATTTTCATCACAGAGTGCTATTGATCCAGAGCGTTAGTAAGTGAGTGTGAAATTCATTTTTTGAGATCGTTCATAAATTCCAGAACGTTAGTATAATTAATGAACGGTCTAGAGTAATCGTAAGTTATTTACTTCATTTGAAAAATTAGAATTTATTTCACATTTTACTAAGGTTTTTTTTTTTTTTGCAGATGACCTATTAGTTTGTGTACAACTTCTAAATTTTCAGAAAATATGAACTAAAATTAAATAACTCGGTCAGTTCCGTCTTATGGACGTCAATCTTTTTGCGTTTTATCCTTTAGAAATATTTTAGTAAATATAACTATACGGACCAGACAAAAATAAATATCATATTTTGTACAAAACTGATTTTTCGGTACTTACGTATTATCGCAACCACCTTAGTAGAAATCGTCAGAGTTTCAGCTTGCGCCAAATTCTGTCAACCATGAACGTGACAAATCTTCAGTTTTAATATCCACCATCGCCATTTTTTCCCCGTTCTTTTAGCTGTATTTCAATTTCAAAACGTTTTTATGTGATTCTTTCTTGTCTAAAACTCGATTTAAAAATATGTACTTATGGGATTTGCTTACAGTAGAAGAAGTTGCGGGAAATGTTTTGCATGAATACAGTATTTTGTAATAAAATCCCTAATTCGAATTTCCTCTCAAACTAATGACCGTGGAATTTCTACTAGAGCAAACGAAACAAAATATAAATAAATATACGCTTATAAATAGTTTATTGATTGTTTTTTGGAATAGTTGAAACGTAAAATATGCATGTAATAAATAAGCTTATAACAAAAAGTCATTATTCTTTTTCTGCCGTAAAATTCACCTAACTACCCTAAAGTGGTCGCGTTACTACGAAAGTACCCATTCTTTTAATTTAAAAATGCAAAACATTAACATTTACCTTATTAAAACATTTTGTGATTAGAACTATATGTCTTTAACAAACGGTTATGAAAATAAGAAACAACTAATCAAGACATTCATAGATGTTTTCTATAAAAATTTTGACTAAAGGCAAAAAACAAACAACAAAATTTCCAGGCTTTAGAATTTATTATAAAGAAATAAGTGAGATTTTCAGTGACGACTTCGGAAAAGATTAAAATTGCATAAGATTAAGTTTTTATATGTCACAGTGTGCTGAAATTATATGTTAATGATTCCCCGTTTTCGTATTGATCCCATTCTGTTGGAGTCAATCATCCGTATTGATCCCATTCTGCTTCGTACTGCTGTTTTGATATTAAATTTTATGTAATTTATTAATTTTATGTAATTATAATAATATATTTTACAACATTAGTTCAAATACTGAAATCGACGATGACATTTTGAGTTGTTCAAGATAGTTTGATATTTATACTTCAAAATTAAATAATAATAATAATAAAATCTTTTTATAATTTGTTTTTTTACTACTGCCATAGAACTCTAACTTACTCTGTATTTATTGTCCATGTTTCGTGCAACATTTCATCTTGCTAAATGGCAACAAATCAAGTGTCAATCATCCTTCTAATACTTGTATCTGATTGCGAGTGAATATATAATATATGTATGTTTTCGTATGTAAAATTGGAAAATTAAATTTATATTATATCAAGATTTGAATTCTCCTTTGTTTCAATTTTATCTCTTTGTATTAAATGTTTCCAAATAAAGCTCTAAATTTTATTAACTCTTAATACAAACCAATTTGAACATTTGAACAGCTGCAATATTATTGCATGTTATATTGCAATACTGTTGCGGGTTAAGTATGAAGATATAGCTCGAGAAGATCGAGAGACAAAGCAAACGCTCCTGAACACAAGAGAAATATTGCAGATCACCGATAGCATATTTCACAAGTGCACATCAGCGTAGCCACTGAGGGAGGGGCTTAGAAAATGGACCAATGACCTTCTGTTGCTCTTGTGAAGCTAAATCTTCGTGCATGTGAGCGTATATTGTTTACATTTTTAATTGCATTTGTTTTGCAGTTATAAATATAGGACGTAATAGTAGAAAATCTGCTTTCGTGCTTTCCTTTTCTGTGTTTAATTAAACACAGAAAAGGAATTGTGTTTAATCACGCATTAATACACAGTCCAGTCACATTAATGTGACCACCACGTACTTTCCATGTCAGAGTTAAATAACCAATCACAGAAGGCAGGTGGCAGCACAGTGCAGTTGAGCGTATATAAAGGGTGTGTGAGGGCTTCGGAAAACATTTCAATCGTTGGCGTAATGCAGAAACGAAGCGATTTATCCGACTTCCAAAAGGGCATGATCATTGGCTTTCGGGCCAAGGGTGGAAGCATTTCCGAACGGCTGAGTTTGTGAACTGTTCGCGTGCCGCCGTGGTAAAAGTGTACCGTGCATGGCAAAATGGGACTGTCCAAAATCAGCGACGTGGCAAATGTGGTGCACCACGGGCCATAGATGACAGAGGCGAACGACGGTTGCGGAGATGCGTTTCGGCAGATAGACGGGCTACCGTTGAGCAACTGACCACCAAAATGAACCAAGGGACTACCAAAAGTGTCTCCCAAAATACTATTCAGCGAACATTGCTGCGTCTGGGCCTCCGAAGCAGACCCTGGTTCGTGCACCTATGCTGACTGCTGTTCATCGACGGCGAAGGCTAGAATTTGCACGCCAGTACAGCAGCTGGACGTCCACTGAGTGGCGACAGGTTTGCGTTTTCGGATGAATCGCGTTTTATGCTCCCATCGGACAGATGGACGTTGGCGTATAAGGCGTGAAACCTCTGAAAGGGACCACCCTGCAACCATTGCCGGAACGGTCCAAGCTGGAGGCGGGAGCATTATGGTCTGGGGAATTTTTCCTGGCATTCTCTAGGTCACTGATCATTGTGGAAGGCACAATGGATCAATACAAGTACGCATCTGTCCTTGCGGACCATGTTCACCCCTACATGAGCATTGTTTTTCCTCAGGATGATGGCTTTCCAGCAGGACAATGCGAGGTGCCATACAGCTGCCAGTGTACGTGCGTGGTTCGAAGAGCACCAGGATGAGTTTACCGTCCTCCCCCGGCCAGCAACTCACCTGACTTAAACCCAATCGAGCATCTGTGGGACCATCTCGATCGAGTTGTTCGCGCCATGGATCCTCAACCGCGTAATCTAGCGCAGCTGGCCACGGCATTAGAGTCGGCATGGCTCAACATCCCAGAGAACACCTTCAGGGACCTATGTGACTCTCTTCCTGCACGTCTCGCAGCAGTCCGCTCTGCGAAAGGTGGTTATTCTGGCTTTTGACAGATGGTCACATTAATGTGACTGGACTGTATATTTGGATCGATGTCCACGGCATATTATCGCTCTTTACAACGACAAAAGGACTCAAGCTACAGTTAGCCTCGAGTATTATGCATTTACTAACACCTGTGGATTAAGAGAATTTAATTGTATATGTATTTTTAATTGAGCTGAGAAGGAATGGAAATGTTGCAATGAATCTAGTGTTTTCTTATTTCAGTGACTGCATTCTTTTGATTTTTAAAGTGTAAGATTCAGAATACATATTCTGTATTATCTGATTATATTCATTGTTAGCATAAGTTAAATGTAAATAAATTGAGTATATTCGTTGTGAATAGGATAAATTCATTCTGTTTGATGAGTATTTTCTGTGTAGCCAGTACATTTAAAAGTAGACAGTTATTAATTGTGAAATTTTACACACTAAATGTATACGAATGCAAATTAGTAAAGTTCATTTTGAATAAAATTCTGCATTGGCTATTATTATAGAACATCTTTTTCATATAGATAGCAATAAAAAGTGCTGACTTCTATTCATATACAATAATTGGGGTAAATATTTTTCTCATATGCATTATTTTATGCAAAGATAGCATTTGGGCTCAGTTGTTTATCACATATTTCTTTCTTCATCTTATTAACCATTTATTAAGTAATATTCCACACAGATATTTTTGAGGAGTATCCAGCACGTGTTTTTATTTCTTTCAAATTCTTTCGACCAAGTAATGAAATCCTCACAATTGCTTATATTTGATCTAACTTCGCAATGAAAATTTTCAGAAGAAATCGGCGATGCTTTAATTATTTTGTACAGAAAATTGCGTGGCAAAATACTTTCAACTATCTTCATGACCTTTCGCGTGCTTTCAGATTTAACTATCTTGCTTAAATCTTAAAGACATGTGAAAGGTCATGTGATATGACAGAAATATTACTGGATATCCATTGGTCCACCCTAGAAGCCACTCCCTCGATAGCTACACAGATATGCACTTGTGAAATATGCTCACCGATGTTATTCGAAAAGTATGCTCTAAAACAGTAATTGCGCAGTTCAAAACTTAACTCAAATAAATCTCTGAATAGAACTGACTCTCAAGGTTCAAACGTAGCGGTGGATATAGCGTTACCCAGGCTTCTAGAAGCTTCAAGAAAAATTGCTCTTAACATTTCAATAATACTTTTTTCCGAAAATTTTCAGAATGTCGCAAATAGACAAGAAACTTTCCAAACCTCCCTAAATTAGCGACAAAAATTTTGGATAGTGCCCGTCGGAAGAATTTCAGCTTCATTACGGTTTTAAGTTCTTAAAAGCTGATCGATTATTAATTATAACCTATACAACATTTGTATATGAAATAAGTACTTCGAAAGAATAAATTCACAAATTTTAACAAGTTAAAATATAAGCTAAAATTATTATACAAAATGCAACAAGTAAATAAGTAAACGTAATGCATAACATTATAACAATGCCTGAAAACCTAAATGCAAATACACATAAATATTTAAATAAATTTACAATTAATATTGTATTAGTTTTGTTTACATTACAAAATAAAATATAGCTAGAAACGCAATTCAAAGTCGGAAAATATTCAACAAATGTTTACGTAAAGGAGGTACTTTGATGAGATGGAAATTTTAACAATATAAAAAATTAAAATAATAGACCCTCTCGATTCGAATAAATACAATATTAATTACTGAACATCCAGTGTACGGAATATGTTAGTAATATTGAGAATACTTCAGTTAGTAAATTATCGTTCAAATATTAGTTTTCTTATTTTCAATATAGAACTAAATAGATAATTAAAAGTACTACGAAAATCAGTGAAATGAGAGCACACAGACAAGAAGTTTGCAAACGCAGCTAGAAAAATAGAGTCGGTCGATTAAATGATCGCAAAATTGCCTAGCATTTTCAACTTCAATAACGTAATAAAGACATGCGCATATACTAACAAAAATTTAAAAAAAAAAAAAAAAAAAACACCTGTTTTAATCAGCATATGAAGCATTTTATTCGCAAAATTCTAAAATACAATTAGAAATCATGGATAAATTTGCTCCACACATTATGAAGGTTTGGTTTTGTTTATTTGATTATGGCAAAGCACGCGAGGCATATCTGCCAAAGGGAGGAAGCCTTCGTAAAGGACTTTCTAAGGCAAACTGGCTCGTATACACGTCACACATGGAGAAAGCCTTGCAAGCGCCCATGCAGCCAGCACGTTCCGAGCTCACGACCGAACTACCAGTGCTTAGCGATTTTACCGCTCGTCCGCTGATGGGCCGTACATTACAAAGGAAAATGTGATTTCTCTAGTCATTCTCCGTTTCAGCAGAAAAGCATAAATAATAAAAATTTCGTGATAAAATAATTTGTTGAAAGCATTCAGAAAAAAGCAAAACTATGAAGTAACACCTTTCTATGAAGCACTAAAAATATATGCTTGTAATATATCATAACGTTCTCCCATTACGGGCAATAGGCGACAAATAAAAGCGTACTATTACATTAACATTTTCGTATTAGCAGAAAAGCACTTTTCACAGAACCAATTAGTAAAATTAATAAGGAAGAACTAAATTTTACTGTACATTGCTGATAATTACGAATTTCAGCAGAAACTCGGGGCGCATAATTCTTAAATGCATATCTGTATCTCAACCGCGGGAAGTGTTTCAAATATGAGGGAATAGGTTTTTATTACTGTTATGAAGTTGAATTTTTTGTTTACATTTGTTTTCCAGTATCCATCGTGTAACTGTTTTCCTTTCAAATTTTTTTCAACCAAACAGGGAAATTTTCGCAGTTACTTATATTTCATCTGATTTTGCACTGGAAATTTTCATTAGAAATCCACAATTTTTTTAATTATTTTGTAGAGGAAGTTAGGCGGAAAACATTTTCCAACCGTTTTGCTTTAAGCATTCCCAAGGTCATGTGACAAAACAAACACTATTACTGGAAACCCATTGGTCCGTTCTAGAAGCCCCGCCCACGGTTGCAAAACCGATATACACTTACGAATTATGCACCGGCGGTATCGTCATCTGCGATGATCTGGTTTCCACGGCAGTACAGATTGAAATGTGCATGTTACAGTAAAAAAATGTGCAGATTGAGATAGCACATTTTTTTAATGTGTTTAATTATGAGCAGCTACAAGTTCCTTTCTAATATAGAAATGTTTTCCTGAAAACGTATATACTTCAATACAAACAAATACATACGTTTTTGGACTTTTAACCATAATTTTGATTTTGGGTCTGCAAAAATCATCCAAAAGGCTTCTTCCATAGGCAATTGGTTTTTC